AAAAAAAAAAAAAAAAAAAAAAAAAGATACGGTTATCCTATCCAATCCGAGAGGAATGGAAGGCACAAGATGACTGATGATGCAGGACGACTGCTGCCAGCCAAAAATGTGAGACATGCAACACGTGGGGTGCCATGCGTGGTGCGCGACACCTGGCGCAAGATCTGGCGATTTCGATCCGAGAGTATGAAAAAGAGAGAATGAGTGGTATCGGCGTTTGACACATGGCCCTCGGCACGTGTCTCGTTGGATTTTGCCATCTTGTAAAGGTTCTGATTGGATAAGATATTGTTCGATGCAATCGGATCGGATCCGCTTAGGAAAGAGGTGGATGAGTGAGCCAGGCAGACAGTTGAGGCATGTGGCACGTGTCTCTCGTCAAATGTGATGCAAATCTCTCTTCGAGTGTGGGGATCTCTTGGTCACACGGCTCGGATGCTATTCCCTGTCCCCCACAATAAAAACGAAAGAATGGATTACAAGTCAACAAGGAATGTGCTTTCCCGACAGGAGCTCATTAGATGAAAAGATACGTCTCCACGGGTCTTGAATACTTGGAAAAATGTGGACATTGGGCCTCCCTCCACTGCGGAACATTCGAAATGTATTTGGACGTCGACCACTAGAAATGTATCTGCACGTGGAACATTCGAAATGTATCTGAACGTGGAACATTCGAAATGTATCTGAACGTGGAAGTTGTCCCGATACAAAAAAAAAAAAAAAAAAACAAGTTGAAATGTGTATAGTTAATATTAGTCCAGGTACATGTCAATGTAGAGTAGGGGAGGAAGACACATCAAGCCAGACGGGGGACGCACCAGACAGAAAAGTGGCAGAGCTCTTTCGTTTTTTGTGTGTAGGGCTATGCTTATATTCTGTGTATCAATATACTTTTCTCAGCCTTTTGGCGAAGATCAAGCAACAGTGTATCTGTTCTCATCAGTTCAATCTGATCCCTTGGAAAAAAAAATAAAAACAATGTTTTCTTTATCGTTCCAATTTTAATGGCTAGAGAGAGAGAGAGAGAGAGATGGCGGGAGGACGTGGCCTGCCCACCGTCACCCCGCTGATAATTTCTCCGCTGTGCGCCAGGATGAAGCATGCACGCGGCAGCGGGAGCACGGGTATACAGGCCGCCGTTCCACACACACACACACACACACACACACACACACACACACACACACACACACACACACACACACACACACACACACAGGGCG